CCACCTTAGGTGTATGTGGCTGGCGCCCCAGCCCCTTGAGCCACAGGTGCCGAGCCAAATTAAACACTTTTAACTGAAATAAAACAAATTAAACCTGATTATTAACCTCGATATGCTCGTCTGTTTTGCCCACGTTCTAATTTTCCGTAGTCCTACAATGTCTCATCTGTCAATCCAAGACTTAGTAGAGAAGCCGAATTCCACGTCGTCACTTGGATAGAAAGCAGCCCTGATATCGCGTATCCTGGTCCAACGGTGGATACAAAGAAACCCCGATATCTCATATCCCGGTCCACCGCAGACAGACGGATGCCCCGGAAGTAAACAGAACTTCCTCTGTTGGTGTGTAAGGGAAGACCGCGGAGACTTGTGGGAAATGCAGTCTAAGGCTCTGAGGCCGTCGTCAAGACAGCTTGGGAAGAATAGAGTTCCTTTTGCGCAAGTGCGGCTCCGCCCTCTCCCGCCATTCAGCCCCGAAGTTCTGGGCGTGGTCTTCCCTGCTCTTGCTCGGAAGGTCAGCGCTGGGGTTCTGAATCCCTAGTTGACACAAGGTAAGAGAGGAACTGGTGGGCGTCTGGGGACCCTAGGGGCTGGCACGGGTGTTCCCCACTTGTTTGCAGCAGAAACGCAGGTGGATCTGAGGTGGACCAGGCCTCGCGAGCAGGTCGGAGCTGCGGACCTGGGCCAGGGCCTGGAACCAGGCGACCTGAGCTGTACTGAGCTGTTGGCTTATCGCTTTGTCTAAAGACTTTGCTGCGGGAAGGCGAGGGTGGGGTTCCAGGGGCACCAGACCTTTCTGACCTAAACGCACTCACTACCACTTCCGAGAAGACGCAAATAAGTCCCTGAAAAGGGAGAATTTAACTTTTTATGAGCCAAGCAATTAGTGATGGTACAGAAGTGAGGAAGATTGGCGAACGTTACCTCCCCGGGAAGCTATGTTGGAAGATTTGGGGTAACTTTCAGAAGGGAGGGGTGAGTTGGGCCGAGGATAGGAAAGGGCCTACCAAATATTACTTCTAGGCGATGTGTGGTCTGCGGTGCTAGAGTATCCTGCCATGTATGAAATAATCTGTCTGTGTTACTCTGTAAAGATTACCTTAATCTTCCCTCATGGGATGTTTCCAGAATCTGGGTACCACCAAATTTGTCATCTAGAGATAGTTTGATGCTGTCTCAATCCTGATCTTTCTGATAGATCATGAAGGTCTTTCCAAGATATTTCTACCTTATAAAGTAGTTGAAATGTTTTGATATGGAGAAATAAATGAGTTACCTAGACTCACATTATATGTAGACATCAAATATCTTGATATCTTGGCTACTGTTAACTCATTTTGCCATAGTTCATTCCAAACAGTTGTTTAGTTTATTAATGATATTTTTGTGTCAGTGAAATCTGTTTATAATACTACATAGAATCCCCAGTGCTTTGCAATACATCCTCTTAAACATCCCTGTCCCTTTTTGTCTTTTTTTTTTTTTTTGGCCGGGGCTGGGTTTGAACCCGCCACCTCCAGCATATGGGGCCGAAACCCTACTCCTTTGAGCCACAGGCACCGCCTGTCCCTGTCCCTTTTTATTTCCAGCATTTTCTGGGGATTACAGGACCTCAGAGGGTTAATTACAGTAATATTGTCCACTTCATGTCAGTAATCACTTCTGAAAAGTCATAAATTCTGCAGGGAAATATAAAGAACTTATTTTACATTGTTTAAAATGGGAAAATTAAGACTCAAACACACTTGTGTGAGCCAGTAAAATGTAAATAAAACAAAAATGTCTGCATATGAGTGACAGAATAATCTTATGTTGTAAAACAAACTTTATACATATTTTAGATAATTGCTTTGATTCACATGACTTCAGTCATGTTGAAGTCTACACACTTGATAGTTATTGGTCTTCTCAACATTTCTGCATATGATTTTCTGGTTTTAATTGTTGTATTGGCATATGCTTAAAGACTGTTTCTCCTATTGCCATGTGTTTTAAAAATACTGAATTCTGCATTTTAGATGTATAGAATGCTAGAATCCTTTTCTTGTTGCATTTTTATGAATCAGTATTTGTGCTGAGTTCAGTTGGGAAATTACACCATGGTGGTGTTTGGGACGACAAATGAGTCTTTAGTCACCTGGTGTTTTGCCTGAAGCTGGTTGGTTTAGGATGGCTGCACTTAGAAGTTTGAAGGTTCCTGCTCCAACTTGGATAGGCCTTTTGTATTCAACTTATTAGCGCCAAGCTTCTTCATAATGTGGCTGTGTCTAAGAAGCAAACATCAGTGGGCAAGTACTTTTCAACCTATGTTTGCATCAACTTTACTGATGTCCTCTTAGCCAAATGGCAAACTCCAGATTATTGTCAGAGGGAACCACAATAGTGTGTAGCTACTTGGAAATGTGTCATTTGGAGCCGTAATTGGGACAGTATACAATAATAACAACAACAAAATGCACATTGGATGTGCCTGTGGTTCAGTCAGTAGGGCCCCGGCCCCATACACCGAGGGTGGTGAGTTCGAACCCAGCCCTGGCCAAACTGCAGCAAAAAAATAGCCTGGCGTTGTGGCAGGCACCTGTAGTCCCAGCTACTAGGGAGTCCGAGGCAAGAGAATTGTCTAAGCCCAAGAGCTGGAATTTGCTGTGAGCTGTGACTTTATGGCACTCCACTGATGGCAACAAAGTGAGACTCCGTCTCTCTTTTTTTTTTTT